ACATCTGTGTCCGGGCTCGTGTGTCTGCATCTTCGTGACGGATTAGCTGGCTGTACTGGTGTGGGTCCATCCCTGGGCTCTGTGTCCTGTTCCCTGGCGTCCGTGACCCTCCTTTGCCAGTACCATGCTGTCTTGATTGCTGTAGCTTTGTAGTAACTCTTGAAATTGGATAATATGAGTTCTTCAACTTTGTTCTTTCTCAGAATTATTTTGACCGTTTTAGTTCCTTTGCTTTTCCACATCCATTTTATTTTTAATTTTTAATTTTTATTTTTTTTATTTATGATAGTCACACAGAGAGAGAGAGAGAGAGAGAGAGAGAGAGAGGCAGAGACACAGGCAGAGGGAGAAGCAGGCTCCAGGCACCGGGAGCCCGATGTGGAATTCGATCCCGGGTCTCCAGGATCGCGCGCTGGGCCAAAGGCAGGCACCAAACCGCTGCGCCACCCAGGGATCCCTCCACATCCATTTTAGAATCAGCTTGTCAATATCTACAGAGAAGCTTACTGGATATTTTGATGAAGATTGCATTGAATCTATAGATCGGATCGGAGAGAATTGGCATAGATGTAATGCTGACTCTCAGTCCATAAACTCATCAGTCCATAAACATGATGCATCTCTCCCTTTATTTAGATCTTTTATTCTTTTTGTTAATGTTCCGTGTGTTTTCCACATACAGATTCTGCTTGTGTTTTCTTAGAGTTTTTTCTATGTACTTTTTGGGGATTGCTATTTATTGTAATTTAAAAATTCAGATTACAGTTCATTCCTGATATATATGAATACAATTGACTTTTATGTATTGCTCTCGTATTTTGTGACCTTGATAAACTTTTTTTTTAAAGATTTTATTTATTTATTCATGAGAGATACAGAGAGAGACAGAGAGAGAGAGAGGCAGAGACACAGGCAGAGGGAGAAGCAGGCTCCATGCGGGGAGCCCGACGTGGGACTCGATCTCGGGACCCCAGGATCACACCCTGGGCTGAAGGCGGCGCTAAACCGCTGAGCCACCCGGGCTGCCCAGATAAACTTATTTATTAGGTCCAAGAGGGGTTTTTTTTGGTATTTTTCTGAGATTTTCTACGCAAAGCATTGTATCATCTGTTAACGAAGACAGCTTTTTTGCTTTCTTTCCAGTCTATATGCTTTTTACTTCTTTTGGTGACCTCACCGTATGAGCTGGGAGTTCCCATACAGTGTTCAGCAGGGTGGTGCAATGTCCTCGTTTTGATCAGATCTCAGGGGAAAGGACTGAGGTGCTGGCCTGAAGTCTGGTGCTGGCTGTTGGTTTTTCATAGCCGCCCTTGTGGGTTGATGCAGTTCCCTTCTGTTCCCAATGTGCTCAAAGTTTTTATGAGCAGCTGCTGAATTTTGTCACTGTTTTCATGTGTCCGTTGATACTCTTACTTCATCTGTTATTTTGGTGAATCACATGACTTTGTGAGTGTCGAACTAGCCTTGTGTTTCTGGCGTGCAGTTATTTGTGATTTATTACCTGTATTTCTTCTTTTGAGAGTCTGGGTAGTTTGTGTCTTTCGAATAATTGGTCTGTTTCAACGGAGTTGCTGAGTTTATGATCTTGGAGAGATTTGTGGTATTCCTTTATGATCTTTCTAATGTCTCTGGAGCCAGTAGCAGGGTTCCCTTCTCTGTTCTTGATACTGCTTCTCTCTTTCTTGATTAGCCTGGCTAGAGGTCTATCAATCAGGTTCATCTTTTTTAAGAACCAACTTTGGGTTTTCTTGATTTTCTCTATATTTTTCTGCTTTTCAATTTCATTGACCTCTACTCTTAAGTTTTTATTTTTTTATTTTTTATTATTATTATTATTTACTCTTAAGTTTTTAAAGGTTTCTTTCCTCCTGCTTGTTTTGTGTATCACTGCTATTTTTTTCTGATTTCTTAAAGTAGAAGTTTAGACTTAAGTCCTTTCTATTTTTCTAACACGAGCACTTTACTGTAAATTTCCATTTAAGTGCCACTTCAACAGCGTCCTGCAATTTTTGATATGTTGTGTTTTCAATTTTCATCCAGTTATAAAAAATCTTATAATTTTGCTTCTGCTTATGGGATCCCTGGGTGGCGCAGCGGTTTGGTGCCTGCCTTTGGCCCAGGGCGTGATCCTGGAGACCCGGGATCGAATCCCACATCGGGCTCCCGGTGCCTGGAGCCTGCTTCTCCCTCTGCCTGTATCTCTGCCTCTCTCTCTCTCTCTCTTTCTGTGACTATCACAAATAAATAAATTTAAAAAAAAAATCTGGGAATCCCTAGGTGGCTCAGCGGTTCAGCGCCTGCCTTCGGCCCAGGGCATGATCCTGGAGTCCTGGGATCGAGTCCTGCGTCAGGCTCCCTGCATGGAGCTTGCTTCTCCCTCTGCCTGTGTCTCTGCCTCTCTCTCTCTCTCTCTCTCTCTCTCTCTCTCTCTCTCTGTCTTTCATGAATAGGTGATAAAATCTTTTAAAAAATAAAAAATAGGGCAGCCCCGGTGGCGCAGCAGTTTAGCGCTGCCTGCAGCCCAGGGCGTGATCCTGGAAGACCCTGGATCGAGACCCACGTCAGGCTCTCTGTATGATGCCTGCTTCTTCCTCTGCCTGTGTCTCTGCCTCTCTCTCTTGCCCCTCTCTCTCTCTCTCTCTCTCTGTCTCTATGAATAAATAAATAAAATCTTTAAAAAATAAAAAAATAAAAAAAATAAATCTATGGTTTATTTAGAAGTGTGTGGTGTAGTCTTGAAAGATTTGGGTATATTTCCAGTAACATCCTGTGGCTGATTGGTTTGGGGCACACATTATTTAGATTCCAGTTCTTTTTTGTATGTTGATCTTTATGGCTCACAGCGTGAACCATCCTGGCAAATATTCCACATATAGTTGAAAATCGTATATTATTTTGCTGTTGGGTAGAGTGTTCTAAGGATGTCACATTATTATGTCTTACTTTTTCATACTATATGGCAATCTATAAGTGTCAGGTTGAGTCAATAATATATACATAGGATACAGACATATATGTATTATGTGAGGTTTATTTTTTATTATTTTAGGTGAGGTTTAAATATATGTAAGTTTTGTTGGTAGATTCATGCATATTAAATATTACTATGTCCGTTTGTTGATTCGCTGTAATTGTGTAGTGTCCTTTTTCATCCCTCATATTATTCCTTGTTTTTATGTTTCTTTTATCTGATATTAACATAACCATCAGCTTTCTTTTTTTTATTAAAGATTTTATTTATTTATTCATGAGAGGCACAGAGAGAGAGAGAGGCAGAGACACAGAGGGAGAAGCAGGCTCCATGCTTTAAAAAAAAAAAATTCTCATGTAAAGCAACAGATTAAAATCTGTACTGCTAGTTGTTTTCTATTTGTTCCTTCCATTCTTTTTTTTTTCCTCTTTTCCTGCCTTCTCTTTGGTTAGTTTAGCATTTTCTATATGATTCCATTTTTGTATCTGTATTAATTTATTATTTAGAATTGCTTAAATTTTTATTTGCTGTCCCATAGAACTTGCAGTGAACATTTTACTTTTTTTCTTTTAAGATTTTACTTATTTATTCACGAGAGACACACACACAGAGAGGCAGAGACACAGGCAGAGGGAGAAGCAGGCTCCATGCAGGGAGCCCGACGTGGGACTCAATCCCGGGACCCTAGGATCACGCCCTGGGCTGAAGGCAGGTGCTAAACTGCTGAGCCACCCAGGGATCCTCCTGAACATTTTATTTATTTATTTATTTATTTATTTATTTATTTATTTATTTATTTATTTATTTATTTTAAATTTTATTTATTTATTCATAGAGACACAGAGAGAGAGAGAGAGAGGCAGAGACACAGGCAGAGGGAGGAGCAGGCTCCATGCAGAGAGCCTGACGTGGGACTCGATCCAGGGTCTCCAGGATCACGCCCTGGGCTGCAGGCGGCATTAAACCGCTGCGCCACCAGGGCTGCCCCCTCCTGAACATTTTAAATTAACCCGAGCCTCCCTCCATGTGATAGTTACACCGGTTCTGTGTGGTACATGTTCCTTCTAGGAGTGTGTTCCAGTGTCTTTCTCCTGCGTCTGTGCTGTTTTCTCGTATGCTTTCCTTCATAGGCTTTATTCATTTTTTTCCTTCTTTTTTTTTTTTCTTTCCTTCATAGGGTTTAGCTCATTGTTGCTGGCTTTGCCTTAGACGAGGGGTTGCACACATTTCTATAGCCTAAACTAGTGTGTGTGGAACTGGAACCCAACCACCGCCATGCTCCATCCCATCCCTGCCTTGGGATGTGGTTTTACTCACCCTGCAGGCATCAGCAGCAGCACCTGGCCATGTGTGTGTGTGTGTGTGTGTGTAACCGCCCTGAGAGGGCCTGTTACCTGACTCTTTCCCCTTGGTGGGCGTTGAGTTTCCCTGCTCTTCACGTTCACGGCTGGAAATGCTGTGCTCTCTCTCCTCCCCTGTCTCATCCCTTTGCAAACACATCCATGCAAACACTCAAGTCTAGAGAATGCGAATGTGCTCTTGTAGGAGTGGGACTTGAAGGACACCAGTGATCTGAGTGCAGGTGATCGTGACTTCCACGTGAGCTGTGGCATGAGCTCTGGGCCCTGTAGCCCGTCTGGAAGGGGCACCACTGACCAGGCCTACAGGCAGTGGAGACGTGTGTGATGACGACAAATGCTAAGTGTGGTCTGGGGTCATTAACTGGCCATTCACTGGAACTAGATACATGTGTTCCGTCAGCGTCCATCTGGTGTGCACATCCACGACATGCGTCGGTAGACACAACCCATGTAGGTCTGTATATATGTACACATAAAGCCTCGCTTCTCCAGATTGGGTCTTCCAGTATTTCTGCCAAGATTTTGAGAATTAGACCTCTTGTGTCCCGCCTTGACTCCAAACCGTTGCTCAGACTCCACCTTGTCTACTCGCCCAACGAGGCCCCCTCCTGCGGGTGTCCACGGATGGCTGGGCTCCTGCTCATGGTCCTTTGGTCTTTTTCTTCCAGTTGTGGCCTTCCTGGTGGCTTTCCATCAGAACAAGCAGCTGATTGGAGACCGGGGCCTGCTGCCCTGCCGAGCATACCTGAAGAGCGTTCAGCAGTATTTCCGGGGCCGCGTGGGCTGGGACGCCGTGAGCTATGCACCGACCGTGCTCTGGCTGCTGGACTGGTCACACATGGACTCCAACCTGGACGCCCTGGCGCTTCTCGGGTTGGGCGTCTCATCTTTTGTCCTGGTCACCGGCTGTGCCAATATGGTGCTCATGGCCACTCTGTGGGTTCTCTACATGTCCCTGGTCAACGTGGGACAGATCTGGTAAGTAGGAAGAGCTGGGGTCCTGTAGAGCAGGCATGCAGTACCTCAGCATCCTGGGCATGTCACAGGCTGCAGAACAAGCCATAGCCTCAGGGCAGTGGGGGACAGGAGCAAGCTTTCTTCTTACGTTAGTTCAGAAGAGTATTGGCATCTTAACTTGGTGGTAGTACAGTCTGCTGGTTGCCAGGCGACCAAAATCCAAGGGACTTTATTGAGAATAATCACAACTCTGTAGGGCATGGCATGACTACCCCCAGAGACCCCGTAGTCAACATCCTGGGGCTGGGGAAGCTCTGAGGTGGATGCAGGGTTGCGCGTGGGCTTCTGGGAGGGCTCTGGTCAGAAGGGGGGGCTTGATTTGGGGGGCTTGTTTTTTCTGTTCTCCCCCCTGTGGCTCCTTCCTTGTTCAGGAGGAACCAGTGCCAGCTCATGCCAGGAGTCACAGGCCAGGCTGGCCCTGCTGGGGTTGGGGGCAGTGAACTCCCATGCCAAGCAGTTGGAGGTGGCAGTGGAGGCCCCACTGGTGTGGAGGCTGGAGAAGTCCTGCGGGAAGTGAGAAGGGGTGTGCAGGGTGGCACACCGTCCTGGGAGGCCCAGGAAAAGTCGAGTGGCCATGGGACGCTGTGCTGTGTTTGAGCAGGTCACAGGGATGCCTGTCTGCTTTCCAATTGTGGGCTCCAGAGGGAGAGAAGAATCACCCACCAGAGGAAGCACCGGGGACTTGAAGAAAAGGCAGTTTTGAGAGAAGCTCTGGGGAGGGGTTGGTGTTTGTGCAGATGCATAGGGAGTAGACGTGTGCGTCTGCATCTGTGCAGATGTGGAGGAGGGTAAGCATTTTCGGGGTGACTTGCAGTGTTCTGACCAAGGGGCCGTCGGTCCTCTGGGCGAAAAATGTAGGTCCGGGGTCCCACCAGTCTGTCCATTGCAGGCCCAGGGTGGAGAGGCTCGGTGGTCCTCCCAGAGCGTGGGCTGCAGCCCAGACAGTCCCCGCCTGGGCACGTGGGACGGTCCCTCTGTGTGGCCGTGGGCTGGGGGCTGTCCGGCGGGCCACGTCAGCTACCCCGACTGCAGTTGCACCAGGCATGCACCACTTGGAGAGGAATCAGGCTGGACCCTTGCCTGGCCCTCTTCCTGGCTGTGTGAAGTGCCAGTTAGCGCCGCCCTGGGGAGGACAGGTGGGCATGTGGGTCGCCCTGAAAACCCCTCTGCGGCGCCCACTCCCGGGCCCTCCTGTCACGGTGTTACTGTTGACCGTGGGGGTGGGTATGGGGCCGCAGCGCATTGGGTGGGGTCCCGGTGACTGTCCCACATGCCTCCTGCTCATCAAGCAGCTACAGAGCAGCGGTGAGCGTGATGCGTCCTTCACTGCCACCTGCTCCTTCCCTGTGGAGTTCCCGGAGCTCATGCCAGAGGTGCAGTCCTCTCTGCCTCCATTCCCTGGGTCAGGAGCTGGTGTTTACCCACACGCAGGGACTCTGGCTGGCTTTTCTGTGACCTCTTAAGAAGCTACCGGTTTTTGGGGATCCCTGGGTGGCTCAGAGGTTTAGCGCCTGCCTTTGGCCGAGGGCAGGATGCTGGAGTCCTGGGATCGAGTCCCATATCGGGCTCCCTGTGTGGAGCCTGCTTCTCCCTCTCTCTCTCTCTCTGTCTCTCTCTATATATATATATCTCTCCCTCCCTCTCTCTCTCTCATGAATAAACAAATAAAATCTTAAAAAAAAAAGAAGCTACCGGTTTTTGAGAAGTGTGATTTTATTTTTTAATTGTATTTATTTATTCATGAGACGCACAGAGAGAGGCAAAGATGCAGGCAGAGGGAGAAGCAGGCTCCCTGTGGGGAGCCTGATGTGGGACTCGATCCTAGGACCCCAGGATCACACCCTGGGCTGAAGGCAGACGCTCAACCGCTGAGCCACCCAGGCGTCCCGAGACATGTGATTTTAATCCACGCCGGAGGAGAGAGAGTTCTCGGCACCTTTGTCCCTTCCTAGTGGTTGCAGGCCCACAGCAGTGAATGCACCGACTCCAGAGACGGGAGGCTTGGGTCAGGCCTACTGTGCATAGCACCGGGGAAATCGTTCTCACTTTAAGTTTACCGTAAAAAGTATTTCCTAGTCATGTGAAGAGTACGGTCAGGAAAGATTAACCCCAGGTTCAAATTTTTGAAAACCAGTTTGGGTCCACGTGACCAAAAATAGTCCTATACTGTTTTCCCTGAAAAATATACTCTGCTCCCCTTCCTTGGATATGTAAAAAAGAAAAATGTGATTCAAAAGTAACTTAAGTTCACTGAAGCAAAATAAAATAAAACTGTAAATAAAATAAAATAAAATCTTCTCAGAGATGCGGCAGGAGATGTTTTAGGTGAGAGCTCTGTCAGTGGAGACCCGTAGTCTCTGCCGTGCTGGTGAGCCAGAGCTGCACACTGCTCGCTTGGCACATGGGAGGCCATGGGGGGCTCCCGGGCACCTGCACCCAGATGAGGTGGCCCCTGCACCCTCTGCCTCCACAGTGTTTCCAGCCCCGTCCTTGACTCAGTTTCCCTGATGGACGAGAGTTTCGGGTCAGAGGCACATGAAAAACTTACCAAGTGAGGACCCCTCATGTAGACTGTTTTTTTACTGGCACCCCAAAATGACAGTGACACAGACTATTCCTTGCATGTCCCATTTATTTAACGTTGAGAGAAAACAATATTTATTTGGGGCGAGATGCTCAGATAACAGACACTGTCAACAGGATGTCTGGCAGGTGTTGCCCAGCTGCTGTTCCGTGGCAGGGCCAGGAAGCCCGTGGGGGGCCATGGGGCGCTTCTCCGAGGGCACCGCTGCCCTGCTTTGGGGCCCCTGGGTGTCGGCCCTGCATCTGGCCGCTTTGCCGCAGGGGCACAGTGGCTGTGGCTGTTTCTCTCCCTTCCCTGCGCTGGGCGTCCTGCCTCGGTCCTGACACTGCACGGCAGGCAGGGGCTCACGAATCTACTCCATCTTACCCTCGGGAAAGTGGCCTCCTTCCAGGCAGTGGGGGCTCCACAGGGTGATCCCGTGCCCTCGGATTCGGACAGTGGAGCACTGATTTCATGGAGTCTTTGTCGTGGCTGCAGGCGGCACAGCAGGAGGGAGCCTGGGGACCAGCGGGGCGGGCTGGGCGTGAGCCAGGGCTGAGCCAATCAGCAGCACCGTGGCGGGTCCTGGCCTAGAGCTGCAAGGCCCGAGCACTGTGGCCTGTGGTGGTGGTGGGACGGCCGTGGGCTGGAGGCTCAGCCACCCTGAGGCCACCCCCTCGGCCCCACCAACACCTGGGCCCGTGGCTCTGGCCACACCCTATGTAGAGTCCCACAGTCATCAGGTGAGAAGCAGGGGGACCTGTGACCGACTCCCCACTTGTCCGTGTTTCATCAGATGCCACATCCTCCTGATTTTACATATAGAGTCTTTCCAGAACCTTCCTTAGCTGTCAGCACCCAGTGTGGCCCCATGTTCACCACAGCGTTCAGCCCTGCTTCCCACGTGGCGTGTTTTGTCAGGGGCACGTGCCAGCTTCACTTGAGGTTTATAACGTTCCAGTTACAGACAATTAAGACACACTATTTTCATATGTTGGGCAAGTGCAAGGTGATGAATCGTGATTTTTCCATGGACCACACAAGTCGTCCTCCCCGCCACCTTGTGTCGAAGACCAGGGCAGGCACAGTGTTGGTTTCTTAGGCCCTGGGAACCCCATGCCCCAGGAGAGCAGGTCCGCATGCTAGGAAGTAGCTAGGGGCAGGGGCGCGAATCCCTGGGACTTCCTTGGGGGCTTTGCTGGTGGGCAGGAGTGCGAGGTGCGGGCAGGGTCATTTCCTTTGTGGCCCAGTCTTTTCTTTGCGTTGGCTAAGCAGACGAAGGGATGCAGCCGATGCCAGGAGGGCGTTTCTCACGCACAAAAGTGAGTGGACAGGAAATTTGAAGGAAGCCCAGCAGCAGGTGCTCCAGGTCCCTGCAGGCCTTCTCCCTGGATCCCACTGCAAGCCCGCAGTTAGGGCAGGGACTCAGGGTCTCTAGGGACACGGGTGCAGGGGTGCTGGGTGGCTTCGGGGGTCCCCACTTCACAGTTGCCTCCTTTCCATCACAGCTATGGAGTGTGGCTGGAACAGGTTTTCATTTCCTGGTGCTCGGGACAGGAGCCTGTGCGGTTAGGGGCAGAGAGATGACCACGCTGGTTCCCCTCCCGTAACAAGGGAAGGCTTGTGGGAAGGGGCACAGCATCGTCTGCTGGGTGGAGATGAGGACATGGCGCCTGACTGGATCGACAGGAAGGGGCCTCAGGCTGGGTGGCCAGGGCGCACGGCAACCCCCCTCCCACGCTGACGTGTCCTTGTCCTCAGTGCACACTGCTTCTGCAGTTCTGGTGAGAACTTGAGTTTGTCTGCCTTTTTTTTTTTTTTTTAAGATTTTGTTTATTTGAGAGAGAGAGAGCGGGTGAGCCTGAGCATCAGGGAGGGGCAGAGGCAGAGGGAGAAGCAGGCCCCCTGTGGGGATCCCGATGCAGGACTCGATCCCAGGACCTGAGGATCACGCTCTGAGCTGAAGGCAGATGCTCGACCGCTGAGCCCCCTGGGTGCCCCAACCTTGTCTGCCTCGAATGTCACCCAGAACCGCAGAGGTTTCACCCGGTGGCAGGAAGCTGTGCTGTGCAGGCCGGCAAGTCCCTGCAGCGGCCCGGCCTGCACGGGCGCCACACGGATCTGCTTACTTGGGAGGACCCGGGCGCTGGAGGCTGTTCTCCTGACGGGCACGGGTTCTGCTGCTGCCTAGCTGGTTCACTTTTTCCTTTTAATTTAAAAAACACCATTTAAAATAAATAAAATAAAATAAAATAAAATAAAATAAAATAAAAAAATTTAAAATAAAATAATAAAATAAAATAAAATAAAATAAAATAAATAAAATAAATATTAAAAAAATAAAAAACACCATTTTGGGAACAGTTCTAGGTTTACAGAATCACTGCAGCGACAGTACAGAGGATTCCCGTGTGCCCGCACCCAGCTTCGTGCTGGGCAGTCTCTTCCTTGTCAGAGTTGCTGAGCTAGCGCTGACCTCTGCTGTCTCAGGATCCCCTCCGGGAGCCACAGGTCATTGGGGCGTCACGTCCCCTTCGGTTTCTCTGGGCGGGGAGAGCGTCTCTGACTCTCTGGCGTTGAGGACTGTGCAGGGCTGCAGCGGGACGTCCCTCTGCTGAGACTTGGCTCATGCTTTTCTCACCACCGGACTGGGCTGTGGGTTCGGGGACAAGGCCACAGAGGTCACACGCCCTTCTCGTCACGGCACGTCAGGGTCGTGTCGTTGCCGTGATGCATCTGTGCAGCTGCTGCTCCCCCCAGCTGAGGTCCCGGCTGCCAGGCCCTCCAGTGTCCCTGTCCCGTCTGCGTGCATGAGGACGCGCAGCCCGCGTGCCAGGCAGGGCTCTTGTGTAGGGGACCTGGGCTTCCTGACCCCGCGTGTTCACCTGTTCAGTCATGACCAGGTCAGCGGGCACTTTGCTCAGGGGCTTCAGCGCTCTGGGGAGTGGCGACGTTGGAAGGGAGCGCCAGAGTTCTGGAGCCGGGCCGTGGGAGGTTCAGGTGATCATAGAGCAGAGCCTCGCTGCCTGAGCAGCTGCCTGGCCCAGACGAGGGAGAGCGTCGCTCCAGCTGCCCCACTTAGCATCAGTTTTCCAAAATGTTGGCTTTCTGATCCTTTTATCTGTGCTTTACTTTGGCAGCGCTCCTAGAGGGCCCCTTTGTTGCTAGCGAGCGCGGCTGCATGGCCGCGTTTTCTCTTCCCCACCTTCCTGGCCCCCAAAAGAAGAAAGGATTATCTGGAGAAACTTGGACCAAGGTTGGGGAGGCTCAGGGGGGTCCCTTCCTGCGGAGGCAGCCGCCTTCGCCGCGTCCCTCTGAGAGAGAGGACAGAGCCTGCACTTCAAAGAGCGCCAAGAGCAGATGCCAGCGGGCTGCGGGGGCGCGGGGGGCGTGGGGCCAGGTCCGTGCCGCGGGGCACGCCGCATGACTGCTCCCTCCTGATGGTGACGGGGACGACCTCGTTCTGTCTCTACAAGGTCCCGCAGCCCCGCCACCCACCGCTCTGCCTCCACGGGGCCCAGAGCCCAGACGTTGTGGCCACTGAGTCACTGAAGACGGAGCTGACGCACAGCCATGACTCCTGCTTCGCTTCCATGAGGTTCAGGGAGCAGGTGCGGCCCTTTCTGTTCTGTGGGAGCAGTGGCCTCGCGCACCAGCACCTGCGTGCTGCTGAGGACCCCGTGATCACGTCGTGCTCCCCCCGTGAGGACAGCCCTTCCGCAGCCCCTGGCATGGACACCAGATGCCTTTCATTTAGGGTCCCCGTTGTGAGAATCTGTGCCCGGCGTATTGGGCACCCTTGAAACTCATATTCTAGAGCATGACATTTTCTTTTTTTTTTTTTTTTAATTTTTTATTTATGATAGTCACAGAGAGAGAGAGAGGGGCAGAGACACAGGCAGAGGGAGAAGCAGGCTCCATGCACCGGGAGCCCGACGTGCGATTCGATCTGGGGTCTCCAGGATCGCGCCCTGGGCCAAAGGCAGGCGCCAAACCGCTGCGCCACCCAGGGATCCCTAGCATGACATTTTCATGGTGTTTATTTACAGAATTTATTTACTGCCAGATATCCATGGTTACATTTGTTTTTTCCTAAAAGATTTCTTGATTGGCTTGTTGTGGGCATGGCCTTAGAGCCCCGTGTGGGACGCGGCCTGGCGGCAAAGGCTCCTGGGCCCCGGGTGGCGGGTGGGCCCCATGCAGAGCTCCTGACGGCAGGTCTCCCCACCCCCACCTTCTGCCACATGTAACGTCCTGGGTTCACTGAGGGTGGCTTTACGTAGTTGGTAGCATGATGCTTTATTCTTGTTTTTTTTGACAAAGTAAGGGGAAAAATTTTTTTTAAGGTTTTGAGAGAAAGGGAGAGTGTGTGCGAGCAAGCAGGGGGAGGGGCAGAGGCAGGTGGAGCAGCAGGCTCCCCGCTGAGCCAGGAGCCCGATGTGGGGCCCGATCCCAGGACCCCCTGATGATGACCTGAGCTTAAGGCAGACGCTGCACCGATGGAGCCCCCCACGTGCCCCTGCACGGCAAAACCTTAATTCATTTTTCTCCTTTTGTTTTTTAGGTATTCATTTGGTAAGTGAAAATCAGAACCTACTCCGAGGAGTTTAGCGTTACACGTGGGTACGTATTTGTGCGTTTTCTCTGCTTGTCTCCCTGCCTGAGCGGCCGTCAGCTTGACAGGTGTCGCCATGTTGCCTGATGTCTGTTGTTTACCCTGGGACCCTGGCCGATGCCTGCTTCCTTGCCCGGAGCGACGGGCCGGTGCAGACGGGACTGGTAATGTGCAGGTGCTGTGTTGGCCATCTCCACACTCTGGGACGGATAGTCCCACGGCAGTGACCGCAGTGTTGTTGCGGACCAACCCCCTTCCTTGCAGGCCAGCCCTTCCCCACTGTAGGCTGTGCCGAGATCACAGGGGACCCATGCCCAGGGACGCCCCAGGGCAGGGGAGGGGTCCCCCTAGAGCTAACGCTGGCGGAATGCCCCAGAGATAGGTTTCTGCTTGGTTTGGTCAGGGGAGGACTTGAAGTTCCCCCAGCCCATGCTCTTGGGGAATGGTGCGCCCGGAGAGCGCATGGGGAGTAGCGTCTGTCCAGGGACGAGTGGGCAGGAGGCACCAGGCTGCTCGTGAGGCTGAGCAGACAACAGGGGCTAGCCACCCTACGTGCCGCTACCACAGAGATGTCTGCTCGCTCCTGGGGGACCTAACGACCCACGTGCCCACTTCCAACACCCTTGATGCCCGGGCACAGTCCCCAACCACAGGAGGAGGATGGACCCGGATGGCAGGCCCGTCCCAGAGGGAAATGATGGTTGACAGAGGCCAGCCTCAGGGTTAGTGCAGCTGTCGTGAGGCACCGAGGCCCCCGATGAATGACAACAAGAGCTCTCAGGACAAAATGACTTAATCAGAAAAGAACCAAGTGGAGAATACAATATTTGAAATGAAAGACTCTCGGACAGACTGGCTGGCAGGGTAGGGGTGACAGCAGCGGGTGGAGGGGGTCCTCGAGGCCACACAGACCTCCGGTGCCCAGAGGAGAGCTCAAGGGTTGGTGGCATGTGTGTGGAGCCTAGGGTGGAGGGCACAGATTGCTGAAGTTTCCAGATTTGGCACAAGACACGGACATCAGACCCAAGGAGGCCGGGGAACCCCATGTAGCATGGCTGGGAAGACGCTGCGCCCCTCAGGTCCTCCATGTGCTGCTGGGGGCCCAGGAGTAGGGAGCAGCTGGACGTTCTAGAACAGTGCTCGGGCCAGCGGGAGCGCAGCTGTGTGCCGAGATGGGAGCTGGGGACTGGGACCTGTGTTGGGACAGAGGCTTCAGACCCAGGGCCGTGAGAGAGCCTGGTGTCCACTGTGGGACTCTAGGCCGCTGGGGGGGACAGGAGGGATGGAGGGAAGGCCCTAGAGAGCAGGCGTCTGCAGGCCACCGTGGAAGCCTGCCCTCCTCCTCTCACTCCTCTACAGCACAGCGGACTATTTAAAGCAAAATAAGTCATTTGCCATCTGAGATTCATGGATGCACGTGCCAGAGCTCGGTGGGTAGACCCACGTGGTCACGGGTTCCATGCGTTACGTGATGCTGCACAACTTTTTAAAATATATTTTTTATTTGTATGAGAGTGAGTGAGCGAGCACACGTGTGCAAGAGAGGGAGAGAGAATCCTGAGGCCGACTCCATCTGAGCACAGAGCCTGACACGGGGCTTGACCCCAGGACCCTGACACAAAACCTGAGCCTAAATCAAGAGTTGGATGCTCAACCAACTGTGCCACCCAGATGCTCCTCTGCTTTATTTTTTATTTTTTCATTTGAGAGATTGAGAGAGAGAAAGTACATGTGTGCACAAGGTGGGGAGGAGCAGAGGGAGAGAGAAACTTAGCAGACTCTGCACTGAGCAGAGCCGGACGGGGACTCGAGGTCATGGCCCTGAGGTCACGGCCTGAGCTAAAACCGGGAGTCTGACGCTTCACTGCCACGTGGTCCCCCTTACCCCCCGCAAAGCTGCACAGCTTGAAGGAGAGCTAAGGGAGGGTGTGCACCGCAATCCTTGAGCAGCCACTAGAAGGCCGCGGAGGTGCCGCCAAACACGGCAAAGTGCCGTCCTGAAAACATGCATCTGCAGGGCAGAGCGGGGCCTGGAGCCAAGCTGAGGGGTCACGGGAAGCCGTGAACTGAAATACCAGGTGAGTGGGGATGGCAGCCTAAGGAACCGAACACCGATTTGGGGAAAGATGGGTGGGACCCCAGGAGAGAATGCTGGATCAGCTGTCCTTGCGCAGACGCACGGCCCAGGGCTGGAAGGGGGATGGAGACGTCCCTGCGGCAGCCACAGTCAGGGCCGGCAGCTGTGTTTACACCGGCAGACAGATGCGTGTCCTTGCATCCGGAGACCTGCGTCGGGAGGATGCTCAGACCCAGGACACGTGGCAGAGGGAACGCAGGAGGGCACAGCAGCAGGACAGAGAAGGGACCGCCCACTGTTGAGGGCACGTGGGACACCCGGCGGCGCCCCAGCTATGCCCCAGCCACCAGCCAGCATGGCACTGTCGTCGTGTGGGGCCTCCACACGTGTCTCCTGGCCAACAGAGCAAGTGCAGGGTAACGTGAGGATGGCCGGCGAGCAGGGTGTGGCTCGGGAGGGGCCGTGACTGTCCAGGGTGGGCACGGGGGCAAGGAAAGCCCCCCCACTGCCCAGGTCAGCAGCTCCGTAGCTCGGGGCTCCTGTCTGCCGGCCTCCCTGGGCCGAGCGAGGCTTGGGGCAGGGCGGGAGGCCGCAGAGGTCTCCCCAGTGGCTCCTGTGGGGGCGGGATGCCCACAGACCCCGTCCCCTGGGCCCAGAGCTGCTCAGGAAGGGACGCCAACCCTGTGGGCCCCAAGGCCCTGGGGACAGGTCGTGGCTGAGGCTGTGTCCTGGACGTGGTCCCAGTCGTGCTTCCACACAGATTGGGGTGTCGCTGAGTGGGGCAGGGGCTCGATGGGAGGGCTAGGAACCCCCCTCCCCCAGCTGCAGGTGAAGCTGGGCCCCGTGCGGCCCCGGAGGCCTGCGAGCAGGCAGGGTGTGCGGGGAGGGCGGCTGCGGTCAGAGGGCATCGCGGGCACCGAGGGCAGCCTGCTCTGGCCGCGCGGCCCCAGTGTCAGCCTCCCCCGAAACGCTCAGTTCTGTGTCGTCACGTTCCCTTTAGGGGCTGCTGTTTCCCTACACATTTGATGTAAACACTTCTGGATAAGCACAGGTGTGCCTGCCGACGGTGGGTTTTGAAGCAGAGCTGCGGTCAGCAGGGGTGCCCCCGGTGTTGGAGCGGCAGTGACGGCCCTAAGGGCCGGGCCTGTGGGCACAGGTGGGCCATGCTGGGCTGTGGCGGTCCCCGTGTGCCACGGGCTGGGGGACGGAGCGCGGAGCACCTGAGGCTGGAGGAGACGGACGGGCGGCAGGAGAACGTGTGAAGGAATAAAAGCCGTGAACTTTCCAAGTTGAATGAACGGCACGTGCCGCAGATGGAGGAGTTCAGAGGCCGCCCCACACCCTCCCGCACGCACGTCCACCGGGTGAAAACCAGTGGGAAGAGAGTTCCCCACAGGTGCAGGCGCGGGTGGGAAGGACACCGGTGGGCTCGGCCCTCGGTGTCAGAGCGGAGGGAGGGCCGCTGGGTCGGCGCGCAGAGAAGGGGCGTGTGGGATGCTCTCCCCTCGGGGGCCGGAGGGCCCGAGCCAGCAGCAGGGAAAGGGACAGCGGCAGGGAAAGGGACAGTGGCGAAGGATCTGAGGAGGGAGCTGACATGGCAGGAGGGAGCGTGCCGACGAATGCGGAGCTCCCCCCGTGTTGTGGGCCCGTGCCCCCCACCAGTCCCTAGCGCTGACCCCAGGGACCCCTCGGTCAGCGGTGTCCTCGCGTGGCCTTTCTGCTCAGGATCGCGCTGTTGTTTGGAGCAAGAAGCAAGCAATGGAATTCCCTCCGAACTTGTGTCGTCCCCTCGCCAGCGTGCAGTGTGGGCAGCCGGCCGCCAGTGGGACAAGGAGAGGCCCGGCCGTGGGTGTGGGAGCGCGCGGGCCCCCCCCCCCACTGGGGCCCAGGTACCTCAGGCTCCTCCTCCGAGAAACCGGCCTTGTCGCTCCCTTTCTTGTGAAAATCTATTAGGTGGATTGGAAATTGTAACGGTATCGGGTTTTTCCAACCGTTACAACCAAGGAACCTTCAGGCCTCACGCCCCTGAGCACTGACCACTGAATTCGGGGCAATTCCCATAAATTAGCATGAGATCAGCTTTTGGGAAGCCAGCATAGCGCTCACCTGCGGTGGTGAAGGGGCAGGGCCACCTGACTCAGGGGGCGCCTTTGGGGGGGGCCCCAGGGCTCCGCCAGGTCCGAGGCCACCCGGCTCCCAGGCCGGTCGTGAGCAGAGCCGTGCTGGCCGCCCCTGCAGAAGCTCCAGCATGTGGGAGAGCCCGGCCGGGAAGTGGTGCGTGAGGCTGGGACCAGAGCCCCGGCCCCCGGGGTCCCCGCGGTCGGCATGTGAGCTTTGGGGGCGGCCGTGAGGCCAGGGTGGCGTCCATGGCGGGTGACTTGCCATCAGGAGACCCCGGCAAACAGCCACGGCTTTGCTCCAAGGTCACACGTACCTGCCCGCCATCTGTGAGCCCAAGGGTGTCACCTGACGCTCATGAGCCTCAGCCGGGAACCAGGGACTCCACGGAAGTGCGGCCACTGCCAGGCCCTTCCCACGCAGCGCGGCCGACCTGGGTCCAGGGGCCACCGCGAGTACAGCCCTCCCCCCCTTCGGCCACCACGTGGCTCCAGATGCTCCCTCGCTGATGTCACAGGATGTGAACCAGCTGCCAGGGCCACCAGGAAGGGCTGAGACCTTGGGGTGCTTTCCCCTCGGCCTCTCCCGGGGCCGCCCACGGGAGCCCAGTTCTGGCCCCAAGCGAGCCATCCGGGCCCCATCGCGCCCACTCCTCTGTGTGCGTTTTCCTTACGTTTATTGCGTCTCTGTTTTGCCCAGGGGACTTGGAAGAGGATGAGGCCGCTCCGCGGACTCCCTCTGAGCGTGGCCGCGGGGGCGGCTCCCCGAGAGGGCGAACCCCAGCTGGCGGTGCTGTTCCCTCTGCGCTGCATGCGGCAGCCTTGGTGGGGGCGGGTGAATTAGGGTCAGGTGACACCCCGCGGCTCCTTAG